TGCAAATACGTCGTGCTTACGAAATCGATTTAGACGCTGACTTGTATGATAATGCTCACAAGTTTCTAATTCATTGTGTTGCTGGGTCGAGTGATGGGACGTCATTGAGTTCACCCAACAAACTATCAAACATGTGCATAATGGGCAGCAGACTCAAAAGTTAGAAAATAAATGGAGATGGTGATGACTAACAAAACGTCTATGTAGGCTATTCAATTTACATTTTTTTTTTAAAAGTTAAAAAAAAAAGGTTTACCTATGCTAAAGTGGATTAGTTATTTATGTGGTTCTCCAGATTATAGTAAACATATTTTTAAACATTAATGAGATAGTTAAATGCAAAAATAAAAAAAAAGTCTGAAAACTAAATAATTAAAAATTAAATATGTTTTTGTTCCAAAAAGCAGTTTGACATATTTTTTAAACAACAATCAGACTACGAAATGTACAATATCTTCAAATATAAAAAAATAACGCAAAAGCAATAGCTGCATTTAAATTGTTTAAACGAATTAAACTCATAGTATTCAACTACTGTAACACATCTGTGTATGTCTTTACTGCTCTAGAATCGTGAAATGCTGAAAGTACACCTTGTTGATGAGCAGATTAATTGCCAGGTTCCAAACAAAATGACTGTGTAATATAAGTAAACAAAGTAATGTATACATTGAGAAACTGGTGAAAACATAAGTAAGTAGAGATAAAGGTGACAATTAAAAATAGTCTTATAGAACTTAACACAGGAAAAAGGTTAACATAACATAATACAGCACTGGTTGTAATGCTGGGGATGTGTTTGTTGTTGGCAAGTATTTGCTCGAGTATTATATTGTAGTGGGATGGTTCTTCACTCCCTAAAGTATCTATTCTACTGTGAATAAGAGCGCCTTTGTATTTATGTGAATGCAGTGTGTTTAGTTCTCTCTATATTTCATCTATTTTGTCTCGAGTACTATTGCAAATAATTAGGGGTCATCCATAAATGACGTAACGCTTTTTTGGGCGATTGTTACCTCCCCCCTCCCCTCCGTCACACATCAGCCTACAAGTCCCCTCAAAATTGCAGTTGAATTTTACTTAAAACATCGACATGTTTTCAAAACCTTGTCTGAACTCTGTTAATATAGAGTATTTTAATCAATTTCAATTGCACTGTATTTAAAGCAGTTTTCTAAAACGCGAAATAACATCTTAAATTAGTTTTTAACATTCCTTTTTTTTATAATGCAAAAGTGTGACGTCGCACCATCTGAACCTCCCCCCCCCCCTCCCCCTCATCACACATCGTCACAACATTACGGACCCCCCCCCCAACCCCCTGCCCCTTCGAGTTTGACGTCATTTATGGACGACCCATTAGTGTGTCTAATTGACTTTCTAAGTATTCTTCTTGTTGCCTTTAATTGTGGCACTTGTAAATCTGCCCTGTGTGTCTGTTTTCATGTTATCTAGTTTGTATTTGTTGTTTGTACAAAGTATGCTGGTTCACCTACTGTGCTGCCCTGTACTATGTATTGATTGTTTAATTCCTAGTATGTTGCAAAATGTCTGTGCTTGTTCTAATGTGTTTAAGTTTGTCTCTTGTAATAGCAAAATGTCGATATTATGTTTATGAATGAAATGAATGACAGCCGGGGTTTTACTGCCGGTTCCCCTAATATTTAGGGTTACTTATGTGTGTAGACCCTTGGTTGGTTCTGTTCATTTTATTTGGCCTGTTGTTGTAGATCTTGCTGTATATCAAGTCCTTTAAATTGTTGTCACTTTTCATATCATTTTCATTATATGACATATCCGTTGAACTGTCTGTTGTGTTGAAAATATCTGGTTCCTCTGTTGGGAGGGAAACATCCATTATTGCAGAATGTAAGCTGTCCTTGCTGTCAGCGTCATATTCTAGCCTAACTAGCTCTTCCCTGTCGCTCTCTGGTAGTTCTCTATCCTCTGGTGATTGAACTTTTTCTATTGTGGCCTTCAATTGCCTAGCTTGATCTGTTCCTCTTTTGACTAGGTCGCTGTAAGATGGTTGGGATATTGGTGTATTATTAAATATTGAAGGCGATTCTTCACCATCCACCATTTTCTATGGACCCCATTTGTTTACTTCCTGTTTCTCTTGATGTACTCCTCTCTTCCTTGTCACCAACACCATCTTCTCTTTTCCTCTTCAGAGTCTGTTCTCTTCGTGCCGTGCTAGCGCTGATCTCCTTGCTCTTTCTTTCTCTAAGTTCAGTGATGTCGTCTTCGTCCCAACTTTCTAAACTTCTCTTGTCGTTTTGTAGTCGTTGTCTTTGAGCTGCATTTTCTTGTTTCCCCCAGGGCTGTATTACATTATACCTCCCGTCTTTCTTTTGGATCCCGTCCATGAAACGGGCGTAAGGTTGGTTACACATGGTGGGGTAGTGCCTATGTGTTTTACAGTTGGGACACAAAATCCTTCTCTCTGAGAGGTGGATCACTGCCACCTGTGCCGCCCCCTCAGCATTTTTAAATCTTATAACTTGAGGTATTTTTTTCTTTGTCGATTTATGGGTTTAATTATGAATTTATAGTTGTTCCCTCGGTCTTCAGTCTTGATGTTTGGGGTGGTCCCCTCTTCACCTAGGCCCTGAAGGACTGTTTCCAGTTCAGCCTTACTAATGTGAGGAGGAACGCATCTCAGTGTACCTTTAACACAGTTCTTTTTTGTCGACGTGAGTGACGCTTACTCTAATTAACCTCTTCGTCCTTGCATTCGTTAGTGCATTTGGCTCGTAGAATTCAGTGAGCATAAGACTCTCATAAATTTTCCTTGAACCCATTGTGGCATACCAGACATTCACTTCTCCATAGTTGTAGCCTATTATTTTGGCAAATTGAGTTAGAAACTCGGCAATTGTAATCGTGGTCAACCAACGGCCTTGAAGGATTGTAGTTTCTACCGTATTTAGTTCATGGAAGAAGGCTTTGAATCCCGGTAAGCAGACGTCAAAGAATAAGATATCTTCATCCATTCTTTGTTTTTGTGTTTTGGCCCCACAAGGACCAAAATACACTCAAAACGTTTCAATTGTTTTTGTTTAGTATGAAGATTTACTTACAAATGAAATCCACAGGCAGAAATAAAAACACGCAGACTAAATTAAGATAGCAAGGGTATCTCGATTCAATCACAGTCAGTCATTAAAATCCAAATTTTGAAATAAAAAAACGACACACAATTGTCACCAATCACACATTAAAAATGGAAATATACTGAGCGCTGTTAAAAAAAAATGCTACTGCGGCCATCTTAGAAATAAAGTTTGTACTGTAGTCTTTTTTTTTTTTTAATTTTAAAACAATGTTTAATATCATAGTATATTTGGGAAATCATTGTTTTAAAAACTTCTCCGAAACAGTACAATTTATTAATTCTTCAACAGGCAAAATTACAATTTTATCATGACATCAACAAGAAAAGCAGTTTTAAAAACAACCAATGGAATATATTACACATGTCATTCGTTTACAGGACGCTGTATTCCATTGCTAATTTACCCAAAACATCAAGCAAACATTTTTTAAATGCTAGACCTGTACAGAGAACATCTGATTTTATATCTTAGAATAAAGTCAGAAGTATCACAAAAATGTAATGACGGTCATTTGACGAAGATGGAAAAAATAAGAAATTCATAATTAAAAATATATATATATAAACATTCATACACAACAATCACCAATATTTTTAAACAAATTTATCATATCCTACAATATAAACAGAAATCTATTTATTATTGTATCTCTTAAGTGGTTATTTAGTATGACCTGATTTTCTGGCTGAGCAAGACCGTTTTGAAAATATAAACATCCATGAATCATTTAAGATAAGTCATAGCAATTATTCTTTAATACAAAATTTAGACAGACTAAATACTTAAAAAATTGATATCATAACAAGGGTCAATTAAACATGATTTAAAAGCAACCAAATGTTTTAATCAGCATTTTAAAAATACAATTTATTAACTGGATAACCTAGTTATACAATGAGAAAAAAATATTGTCTAAACATTTTCTGATAAGTTAAAGTTGTTTATGAATAATATATGAATGTAAAAATTTCAACATTTAAGTGGAGGATTATTTATTTATCCTCCTAAAATATTTTTTATGGACAATATTTAAACAAGAGTACAATTTAATCACTTAAATCAGCATCACTGTCAGAGGCTTCGTCTTCACTGTCTTGAGATGTCCGGGGGGCACCTCCAGGGGCAGGGGCATCTGGTGTATCCAGTAGGTCTGGGTTCAAGCCTTCCATTGCCATCTTACCCTTGACTGCAGGAGGTGGGACACCAAACTGTAACATCTTCAAGAATTTCATATATCTTGGATCTTGTGAAACTGTGTTCTGAGGTTTGACTTCCCCTGTTGGTGCTGCTGGCTCCGTGGCTGGTGCAGGTGCAGCCGGTGCTGATGGTGTTGGGACTGTAGGTGCTGCAGCTGTGGGTGTAGGATTCTCTGTGGGAGCTGCTGGAGTAGCAGCTGGTGCTGGGGTGCTGGACTGTGGTGCTGTCACTGATTCTAAGCCTGGTATTGACGACAGCTTAGCTTCAAGTATGCTCAGTGAGATCTCTAGCTGCTGTAACCGGCCATGCAAATTTTCAAGTTTGTCCTCACAAATATTGCCAAAATGGTTAAGGAAGCGAGCAGTGTGTGTGATAAAATGGTTGATGAAAGCTATGGTCCTCTTTTGGTTGATCGCTTCAACTTTTGTATAATCTATTCCAGGACAAACAAGTGGCAATCCATCAGAATCCCTTTTCAAAACAACAATGCTTTAAACAAGCATGAATCTGGAAAAATGATTATTAAAAAATCTATGAAAATTATTAAAATTAAAATTTAAAATTCTTTACTTTTTTTTTTTTTTTGACAAGTTACACATTTTTATTCAACTGAAAATCAGCAAGTTAAAAAAGTTTCAAAACATGGCTATTTTGAAAACTAAAGCACTGAAAACAAGATGAATAAAGTTTTTATAACAGGAAAATTGTTTTAATAGTCCTTATTTCTAGGTCAGTTGAATCAATAATGAAAATAAAAATATTGGCTAATCAGATTGAACTGTTAACACAAATTTTTCTTTTAATCAACTACGTTTTCATAGACTTGACATCAACACCGAGTATACACATTCTAATTAGTTCGTTTATTTAAAAACTAGTATCTCGAATAGAACTATTTATTCAGTGTAATTTTTTATCTGGATTCCTTCTCTCCCAAATAAGTCTATGTTTCTGTTTCATGTAGGCCTCTAAAGCACCTTTCCCGCTTCTCATATCACCATATTTGATGAACCAGTTAACAGCCGCCTGGTTATAATCTTCTTCAATCTGTTGACATTTGTTTTTTTTATCAGGACCTTCCCACGCATAGCATTCAATCTTTCTTTGCCTCAGAATCCTGACAATATCGCTGTCAACCATCTTGTCTCTCTGGAACTGCTGGTCAGCTTCATAGATGCAAACTGGATCTTCTTCATCACACTGGTCAACTATTGGGACCCTACTGAAACGCCTGTGATAATACTTGGTTTGGTTCCTGCTCTGAATAGGTAACACCACCTTCTCTCGTACAACAGTCACTGGTGTGACCTACTTAGGTCTGTTTGGCTTTATGTATATTTAATCTCCTGAGTTATGTATTTGTCCTTGGGAGAATTGTCAGTTCACTGGTACAACCCGGTCAACTGAACGCTATCACATCATGTGATTGTAAGTTTAATCCCTGGCGGAACCTCAACCAATGGACTTGCGACCGTGAGGATCCTTGACTGACCCTCAACCAATAGTCGTAAGACTTTTGAGTTATTTCCCCTTACTCTGAGTTGTATTTAATCACGGGTTTCTCAAGTCCAGAGGCCGCCAGATTGACCTAGGGACCAGGAGAGGTGTGCCTGTGGTTAGGTACGCCATTTTGCAGTATTGTTATTTTGTGACATGATTTCACCTTTTGTATAAGGAATTATGTGACTAGTTGTAGTTTACTGAATTTGTGTTCTGGTGTATTATTACACCTTTTTGACTATCGGTGATAGTTTAACCTGTATAAGGATTTCTATTGGTGTAGAGGCAAATTGTCTCTTCCTGGTTTTTTGTTGTAATTATTATGAGGCCATTCAGTTGTGTGAATTAATGATTTATCACAGCTGTGATATTGTGATTTTTTCTCAAACTGTAAGTTGGAGTTGAGTTTATTTATATTACACTGAGAATCTGTACTTTTTGATCTTACCTAGTGTCATTATCTTGTACATAAATTAAAAAGGTATTCATAGTTTAAGTCGTGTGAGTCTCTTCGATTTGTCGTGTTTTACCCCTAGACAACATTAACGAGCTCACGGCAAGTTAATGAGATTCCGTTACAACGTCTTCTATCGGTACCATACCAAACGAACCTGGGGCGTCCGCTTCCTCCGCGGCTGTCGGAGGTCGGACATAACAAGTGGGGGCTCGTCCGGGATTTTGATTTGTGTGCAAGTTTGGCACTAGTTTGAGTTTGTGATTTAGAGTTTGGTCAGTAGTTCGAAGAAGTTGAACTAGTTCTTGAGTAGTTGTTTTTGTTATCAGTTGAAGGTAAACATTGTTACTTTGTAGCTATGGAGGCTTTGTTGTTAAGTCCTACTGTGGAAGCAGTTGAGAACTTAAGTAGGAAAGAGTTGATAACAGTTGTCAAAAAGTTAAACCTGGACTATATTGTTACTCAGACCTCTAGGGTGTTGAAGGACAAAGTTATTGTTTACTTCATTAATGAAGGCATGCTAGATGAGAGTCTTCTTTCTGAAGTTTTGGCACGGGAAGTGGAAATTGTTGATAGGGAGTTTGAGGCCAGACTAAAGTTAGAAAGAGAAGTTCAGATGAAGCGGTTAGAGTATGAGTTTGGTATTATTGACAGTAGTTCGAGGTCAGAAGGTCCTTCTCAGTTGTCTGTGGCCCAAACATTGGCCCAGTTTTGCAAATTAGTCCCTAAGTTTGATGAGTCAGATCTTGTCGTATTTTTTAATACATTTGAGAACATGGCTGAAAGTTGTCAATGGCCTAGTAACGTAGTCACAACGTTACTAAGCACTGTTTTAATTGGTAAGGCTGCCACCACATACCAGGCACTCTCTCGCGAAGTCCAGTCAGATTACAAAAAGGTCAAGGCTGCCATTCTGAAGGCTTACGAAATAACTCCAGAAGCCTACAGAATTAAGTTCAGAAAAAATAGGAAACAACAGAACCAAACCTATGTTGAGTTCCTTTTTGAAAAAGAAAAAGTCTTTTCAAGATGGCTCCATTCTGAGAATGTCGACGACTTCGACAAACTCAGAAGTCTGATACTAAGAGAAGATTTCCTCAACGCAGTACCTGAAGAGATCAGACTTCACATCTTGGATAACCGAATAACAGACATCAAAAGGGCAGCAGAATCAGCTGATATATACGAGCTGGTACATAAGAAGTCACAGGGTTCTGGTACCAAATACAATCCGGTACTACCTCTCATCAGCAACAATCCCTCTGCTGGCCAGTTGCTGAGATCTCGTCAATCAACACAGATACCCAGAGTCACAGCCAGGCGACTGATCTGCCACTATTGTTCCAAGCCTGGGCACATCTCCAAGAACTGTTTCCTGCGACAGCGAGACAACAGAGAGTATGTACGAACATCTCGTAACGCTCTCCCCCACCAAGCAAGTCCAAAGGTGAACCTCGCCCGTCGTGATGACCCTACACCAGCGTGTCCACAGGGAGGTAACGAAGTGACCACCACTTTCGTCCAGTCATCTTATGACTATCCTCTTCACCAACCGGTTACATCAGCAGCAACCAATTGTGAAGAATCGAGAACTGTTGGCTTCACGTCATTCATGACAGATGCTGTCATCAGCAACCCTGGAGACCCAACATCATCGCGGAACATCGTCGTCCTAAGAGACACTGGGGCTTCTCAGTCACTTTTGCTGAGAGACTCATTGAACATCGCTCCAGAAACCAACACCGGTGATGTCACCATCATTCAAGGAGTGGGAGCTGAACCAACAGTAGTTCCACTACATAAGTTCAACTTGAGACATCAGCTCATCCAAGGAGATGTTATCCTTGGGGTGATAGATTCCATACCTGTCCCAGGAGTACACCTGCTTCTAGGGAATGACCTAGCGGGAAGCAAAGTCCACCCCCAGGAAGTTCAGAACCCTTTCTCTACAGACCCCGACGGTGAAAATGAACTGTTCTTTTGGCCGAGAATGCACAACGATGACACCCGTTATTGCAGACATTGTAAGAACTGTCAGTTGGTTGGGAATCCCAGTCAAAATATTCCCAAGGCCGATGAGACCGATTCTTGTGCTAGACGAAGCATTTAACAAGATTACCAAGGACTGCGTCATCGATTTCCCAAACCGGAGAAAGAAACAGACAGTGTATCATGTAAACTCACTATCTCTTTCTCCACAGCTAAGTTTATGTTACATATAAGTATTTATAGTAAATTTGAGATGCTACTCTTAAATTGTTAAAGTCCCCATTTTTGACCCAGTTAGATCATATTGAACATTTATCTTCTAATGAGAATCAGACATTCTCACAGGTAGTTAAAACTTTACCCTCCATTCCTTGGGATGGCAGATTACTATAGGCGGTTTTGTAAAAACTTTTCAGCTGTAGCTGAACCACTTACGGCCTTATTGAAAAAGGGTGTTGAGTTTGAATGGTCAACTAAATGTCATGAAGCCTTTTTGACCATTAAGTCATTTTTATCTAACGCTCCTGTTATGGCTGCACCAGATTTCAGCAAGCCTTTTAAACTTGCCCTTGATGCTAGCAATTTAGCCATTGGCTCAGTCTTATTCCAGGAAGACAACCGAGGGATCGATCATCCAATAGCCTTTTTCTCTAGAAAGTTAAATGAGAATCAAAAGAATTATTCCACTATTGAAAAAGAAGCTTTAGCTTTGGTTTTGTCCTTACAACATTTTGAAGTCTATGTCACTTCTTCCATAAATCCCGTCATGGTATTTTCTGACCATGATCCTCTTAAGTTCACTACTAAGTTGGGACAGAATAACAATAGAATTTTAAGATGGTGTCTATTTTTCCAAAATTTTAATCTGGTTATTTCCCATATTAAAGGAACTGACAACATTGTAGCTGACTGTTTGTCAAGAATGTAAAACAACTTTTGATGTTCACATTGATCTTGTGAAACTTTTTTGGTTAGTTATAACCATTTTGCAAATGTTATGGTTGATTAAACTGTAGCCTAGTGGCTGGAGTTCCAAGCTTTCAATCAGATGTGAATTGTACGGTTTTCCTAAATCTGATTACACGTTGAAAATGCCTGTTATTTTCAAAGGAACCTTATTTAAAGGTGGTTTTGTATAATGTGCATTGAGTTGTTATAAAAATGTATCACATTATGCACTTGATGTTATATTGAGATATTTAAATAAAGGAATTAAGTTGTAAGTTTCCCACATATTATATCCAGATGGATATGTTTTGTTTCCTTTGCATAAGGAACTTTGATGTATTATTATTATGGGAAGGATTGTTTCCCTTTGGTAAATTGTAAAAAGGTGAATTGTTTCCCTTTAATTTTTAAGGATGTTTTTTATTGACATAGAAATTTTGTTAGTTACTATAATTGGACATTTTTTGTGTCAGATTTGTTCCATATAGTGATTGCCATTTTTGTGTAACAAAAATGCCTCTCTAAAAGGGAGGGGATGTGACCTACTTAGGTCTGTTTGGCTTTATGTATATTTAATCTCCTGAGTTATGTATTTGTCCTTGGGAGAATTGTCAGTTCACTGGTACAACCCGGTCAACTGAACGCTATCACATCATGTGATTGTAAGTTTAATCCCTGGCGGAACCTCAACCAATGGACTTGCGACCGTGAGGATCCTTGACTGACCCTCAACCAATAGTCGTAAGACTTTTGAGTTATTTCCCCTTACTCTGAGTTGTATTTAATCACGGGTTTCTCAAGTCCAGAGGCCGCCAGATTGACCTAGGGACCAGGAGAGGTGTGCCTGTGGTTAGGTACGCCATTTTGCAGTATTGTTATTTTGTGACATGATTTCACCTTTTGTATAAGGAATTATGTGACTAGTTGTAGTTTACTGAATTTGTGTTCTGGTGTATTATTACACCTTTTTGACTATCGGTGATAGTTTAACCTGTATAAGGATTTCTATTGGTGTAGAGGCAAATTGTCTCTTCCTGGTTTTTTGTTGTAATTATTATGAGGCCATTCAGTTGTGTGAATTAATGATTTATCACAGCTGTGATATTGTGATTTTTTCTCAAACTGTAAGTTGGAGTTGAGTTTATTTATATTACACTGAGAATCTGTACTTTTTGATCTTACCTAGTGTCATTATCTTGTACATAAATTAAAAAGGTATTCATAGTTTAAGTCGTGTGAGTCTCTTCGATTTGTCGTGTTTTACCCCTAGACAACATTAACGAGCTCACGGCAAGTTAATGAGATTCCGTTACAACGTCTTCTATCGGTACCATACCAAACGAACCTGGGGCGTCCGCTTCCTCCGCGGCTGTCGGAGGTCGGACATAACACTGGCCCGTCGACAACTTTAAAT